ACTGCTCCAGTGTTAATTTTGCCAATACCGAGTGAGTCTTTTGTGGTGTATTGTGATGCGTCGAAGATGGGCCTTTGAGGCGTATTGATGCAGAACGGTTAGGTTGTTGCTTACGCTTCCAGACAACTGAAGGTTCATGAAAGAAATTATCCTACGCATGATTTAGAGTTGGCCGCTGTGGTGTTTGTGTTGAAGATTTGGAGAAATTATCTATTTGGGTCCAGATTCGAAGTGTTCAATGATCACAAGAGTCTGAAGTATTTGTTTGATCAGAAAGAGTTGAACATGAGGAAGCGAAGATGGCTTGAACTTCTGGAGGATTATGATTTTGAATTGAGTTACCATCTGGGTAAGGCTAATGTTATGGTTGATGCGTTGAGTAAGAAGTCCTTGCATATGTCGATGCTTATGGTTCGAGAGTTGGAACTAATTGAGCAATTCAGAGATATGATTTTGATTTGTGAAGAGACTCCTAACAGTGTGAAATTGGGTATGTTGAAGCTGACTAGTAGTATTCTCCAAGAGATCAGAGAAGGTCAGAGATCTGATTTAATTTTGGTGGATCGTCTCACGTTAATTAATCATGGTAACAAAGGTGATTTTTGGAACAATGAGAATGGTGTGATGAGGTTCCGAGATAGAGTATGTGTTCCCGATGTGCCAGAAATCAAGAAGAGCATTCTTGAAGAAGGTCATAGAAGCGGGTTGAGTATTCATCCTGGCGCCACAAAGATGTATCAAGACTTGAAGAAGTTGTTTTGGTGGCCTAGTATGAAGAAGAAAGTTGTTGAATTTGTTTATGCTTGTTTGACTTGTCAAAAGTCGAAGATTAAACATCAGAGACCGTCGGGTCTGATGCAACCGTTGAGTATTCCAGAATGGAAATGGGATAGCATTTCTATGGATTTTGTGACAAGTTTGCCGGAGACGTTGAAGGGATACGATTCGATTTGGGTAATTGTTGATAGATTGACTAAATCAGCTCATTTTGTACCAATGAGGGTCGATTATTCGTTGCAGAAGCTTGTGGAATTATATATTGAGCAGATTGTAAAGTTGCATGGTGTTCCGTCAAGTATTGTGTCTGATAGGGATCCGAGATTTACATCGAGGTTTTGGGAGAGTTTGCAGGCAGCTTTGGGTACTAAGTTGAGGTTAAGTTCTGCCTATCATCCGCAGACGGATGGACAGACAGAAAGAACTATCCAGTCTTTAGAGGATTTGTTGAGAGCTTGTGTTTTGGATCAAGGTGGATCGTGGGATAGTTATTTGTCGTTGGTTGATTTTACCTACAATAACAGTTACCATTCTAGTATCGGAATGGCACCGTATGAGGCTTTGTATGGTAGGAGGTGTAGGACTTCGTTGTGTTGGTATGAGTCAGGCGAGAGTGCTGTGCTCGGACCTGAAATTGTGCAAGAGACGACTGAAAAGATCAAGATGATCCGTGAAAAGATGAAAGCGTCACAGATTCGTCAGAAGAGTTACCATGATAAGAGGAGGAAAGCACTTGAATTCCAAGAGGGAGATCATGTGTTTCTGAGAGTTACGTCAATAACTGGTGTTGGTCGAGTTTTGAAGTCTCGTCGCGTTTTGTTGGTCTGCATCAGATTTCGCAGAAGGTGGGGGAAGTAGCCTATCGGATTGCTTTACCGCCGTCGCTCGCGAATTTGCATGATGTGTTTCATGTGTCCCAGTTGAGGAAGTACATTCCAGATCTGTCGCATGTGATTCAGATGGATGATGTACAAGTGCGGGATGATTTGACTATTGAGGCGTTGCCTGTTCGAATTGATGAACGAGAAGTGAAGCAGCTATGAGGTAAAGAGATCGCCTTGGTGAAGGTATTGTGGGGAGGACCAGCTGGAGAAAGTTGGACTTGAGAACGTGAAAATAGTAGCTATCATGCTGTTTTTTCATTTTTATTTAATTTTTTTTACTAACATACTTTTATTTTTATGTTTTAGCTACTCTCGGGAATAATTTTTAATCAAGAAAACTATCCTTTTAGTATCACTAGGTGGGACAGATGAACTTAACGAATTAGTTGAGTTGAGTTTGTTCCTTTCAAATATATTTTATTTTTTATTTGATAAGTAGTATTAAGTTTTAAAAAATGGACCGAATCAATCGATTGGACTGTGAACTGGAGCTGAATCTGATCTAGTCAATCTTTCAAAATTACTAGTGGGTCAAAATTAGAATAAAATTAGAAAAATCAAATTAAACCATTCAAAATTGTTCAAACTAAAGAATCAGAGCTGATTTTGTATAACCGTCTGTTTCAAACAAATGCATTAAGTTAATTAATTTTTTGAATTAAATTTAATATGTCAATATCAAAAATTTAAACAATCCTCAATCGCAAAAAAAGTTCCTTTTTTTTTTTACAATCATACAAACTTCTAAGTTCTATCACTCCGTTATAGTTTTTCTTTCAACCACACTTCATCATCATCAAATCGTCTATTTCTAACATAGTCACACTGACTAGCTTAATATTTATTTTTCTTCAAGTCAATATTGTATATCGTTGTCAATTATAAGTTGTTGGTTGTCGCTCAACTCAGTTTTGCTTATTGTTGTTTAATGTAATTTTATTTTATTAATTCTTAATTATTTGAATTTTATTTTAGTTATTATGTTCTATTATTCTAACTTTGGTTTGAATTAATTTAATTTATTTTATTATAATTATTTAATTTGTTCAAATTATTCTTAAATGAAGATAGAAATTAAACGTACAACTATGTTGTGTTATTATATATACTATTGATATTGTTGTATTAAGTTTGTAATAAATTATTGAAATATTTATTTTATTAAATTGTAAACATGTGATTGTGAGTGACATATTTATGAAATTTAATTTTATATTTTAAGTTTATTTAATAAACAATTTCACCATAGATTTATTGGTTGAACCAATTGAACCTTAAATCGAATATTTCAGCGGTTTGATCTTCGTCTGATTTTTAAAATATTGGTATCATGACTTACATAGTTTTTTCATTCAAGTAAGTTGGTGTGTTTTTGTATTTAGTTCGTCAATATTTTTTTGAAAATAATCCCTAACGTTAAATCTTTTTAGTTATAATCACTAATATTAAAGAGCTTGGAGGGGCGGATTGCGAGAGTAGTGGTAGTGTCATGGAAACGATGTTGTATGCATTAAGGGATTGTAGGTTTATCACCTTTGGGATTTCATGGTTCCAAACAATATTAAGGACAGTTTCTTCAATGTGATTCTTAAAAAGTGGAACAATCTTAATCTAAATGTGAACCAGTACTGGGTCACTCTTTAGACGGTTGATTGCCAGAACGCGAAGGAACAAAGAGTATCATGATGTTAATCACGATAGACCACCATCCCTGAAAAATCATATTAGTATAATGAATAATTATATGGAGGTTGTGAAGAATGATAAGATTATTGTTGGGAGGAATAAGATTTTGAGTAGGGTAGGTTGGAAGTCTTTCGAGAAGGATTGGGTGAGCCTATTGATGGTAGAGAGTTAAGGTGTGGAAGAATTATAAGAACCATAGAACCATAAACAATAAGTTTATATGAGAATTTGCCAAACATCATGACAATTGTAGTGTGGTAAGGGTGGAGCTTTATTGAGTATATGAAGTTTGTTGTGGAATTGGGAGTTTCAAAAATTCACCTTAACGTAAATCTCAGCATCATAGTAGATCTATTAAAATCGGGTAATAATTTGGACAAGGATAATTTCTCTTTATTGAATCATATTTGGTAGATGGTAGAGGGGATTGGAGAGATTAAAATTTCTCACTCATACAGATAGATTTGAGTTTTCATAAAAATTACCCAGAATTCATTAAGCACTTAGATCATTATGATGATATGTGATCCTCAATTCCGAGATTAATTTTGTTGTAGTCTTTTCCTTGTTTTTGGTCTAGACTTTCCCACTAGAAAAATTCACAGAAAAATATGCAAATTTTCTTGCGAATTTAAAATCTATAGGTTTTCCACAAATTTTCCTTCGATTTTATTGTAGATTTTAACTTTAAAATGAAAACCAAAATAGTTTTAACATTAAAAAAAAATTCTAAAAAAAGAAATTAGGAACAAAAATACTATTTAAACCTAGTATCAATAATCTATCATCACATTTATACATAAAAAAAAATACATGAAAAAATACATGGATTGATGAACTTTTCGGATTGATGAACTTTTCCTTTTGTTTGATCTGACAATAATTTCTATAGACAACTAATGGCCCTCTAAAAATAATAAAAATGACAAAATATGATTTTATAACTGTATTTCAATTCTTCTATTTAAATATTACTAATAGAAAATGATCCTCCTAAATATCTCAAATTTCGTTTTTAGTTTTTTAAAATATTCTTTTAAAGAATCGTCCTTCTAATATTTTTCATCGATACTTTTAGTCTCTAATACTAAAATTGTCGCTAATTCAGTCACTTAGTTAAAAAAACATCGTTAAATCTATCGTTAAGTTGTAAAAACAGTCGCTAAATTGCAAGAAGGACCAAAAGTGTAGATTAAAAATTCTAAGAGAACCATTGTTTAAAGAAAATATTTTGAAAAACTAAAACGAAATTAAAATATTTAGGAGAACTATAAACATATTTCACCCTTAGAGAAAAAAACAACTTTGAGATTAACATATTGATATTATATGAAATGCTCTACACATCAACATGACAGAACAAAGATAATAGCAAGTTAGCAGCAGAAAATTTCAAGAACAATTTCTCGATTCTAAAACATAAATTGCCCAATAAATTCATAAAATTTTCATGATTAAAAAGAACTCCCAATTTCCATAATCAAACCAAAATTGCAGTGCTGTTTCAACAGAAGCATATTATGGATTATGCTCATTTGGGCTCAACAGATCAATAGAACAAAAGAAAGCCTTTCAAGTTTACCAATGAAAGATACCATGAAAGCAGAAGAAACTAGGCTTTTAATTAATAACAGAGAAAGTTCAGGTGATTAATTATCTTTCATCAATTCTAGCTGCTGTTGAAGGCTGCTCCACGGGCTTGGCAGGTGCCACTGAAGATTTCTTATTCCCAGGACCTAAGGAAACCTTCACGAATGCTGGCCTTAAAACCTTATCTTTAAGGACGAAACCTCGTCGGGATTCTTTAATTATAATCCCTTCCTTGAACACTTCGGACTCCTCGCGTGCAATGGCTTCATGAAGCTGCAACAAAGGTAATAGAAAAACAAATTAAACAATGGTAATGTGGATAACTTTTTATAAGTTTCTATCAAATATGCCTTCTACAGGCAAGAATAGTGTCCATACTCCATGATTGTTTTCATGCATAGTATGTGGAGAAGTCCCGCATAAGATAGGCAAAATAGATTAGGCAGCACCAACACTTCAGATTTAATGCGTGTGATTACTGATTACATTCAATAATTTCATTTTCTCAAATAATTATTGAAGCCGACATGTCAGTGTTGTGTGTGGTGTTTGAGTGTGTTCATAGAAAACAAGTTCCATGATAGTGTTCAGTGCAGTGTTTGTTTGTGCTCATAGAAAACAAGTTCCATTATGGCAATGAGAAGTGACAACTTTAAACAAGATGTTCTTCATATTAGAGGTTAGAGACGCAGACGATGCACGCTCAGTGTTGGTTGAAGTTTCTTCAGAGGCCATGGAAGAGGATCGAACTTAAGCTCTTGATACCATAATAGAAAGAGAGAAAGAGAGAAAGAGAAGGAGAGAGTTTGATTTTATTGCAACTAAATTTTGATTCTGCAATACAAAATTAGTTACAGATAGAATTGGACTGAACTTATATAGTTCAGTTTAGACTCTGGTGACTCAGCAGAGTCAGTTACAGAGTTTGTTACTTATTGTAACTCAACTAATCTACCTCCTATTCTATTTACTCTAAATCTAACTCCATGAAAGACACAAAGTCACAAACCAAAGAATAAACTAACTGTTGCATTATCCTAGATTCTTCTTAGGTCATTACAGTTAAATTCAAGTGTTAGCTAGTTATTCTGTTAACTATTAGTAGCTTGCATTCTATAAGCTTCTCTACTCTAGAAAACCTAATATCAGAGACTATAACTAACTCATTTTGGCAAGTAAATCAACACAGTTTCTCTTATCAGAAACTCTTATAAATATCAACAATACATGTATTTCCAAAGTTTAACTTACCAAAGGATTAAAAGGCTTGCCAACTGTTGCTACCACTGAAACATGATGACTCCTCAAAGTCTCAACAAACTGCTTGTAAATACTCTGATAGCTCACATCAATCTTCTTCTCTTTCTCCGTTGCCACTTCAATTTGTTGTTTAACTCTCTCGAAATGATCCGCCATCAACAAAAGCTTCTTAATGAACCCTTGTTTGGCATCAGATTGAATGCCAACTCTCTCTTTGTCACATTTTTTTCTAAAGTTATCAAAATCCGCTTGTAAACGAAGATACTGCTCCTTAACCGAAACTTTATCAACCGATAAAGTAGACAGTTTCTGAACCAATTTATTCTTCTCATTCTCCTTCAATTGTATTCTTTCTTCAAACTCCGATGCAATCTTTTCATCGCCGGTAAGAAAAGCTTTCTTGTATGCTTCAATAAGAACCACTAAGCTGGGTAAAGTTTTTTGATGTTCATCGAACTGAATCTCCTTTGTTTCGTTATTTATCTATGGAAGAGAATACAAAAAGAGGATTATAATTCAGAAACAACTACTGAAATGATAATAAAAACCCTAAAATTGAGAAATTTGCAGAATTAATAACAAAAATTATTGAATGATGTAAATAAACAAGAGATAAAGTGAGTAATAGAGAGAGAAAGAGTGTGTACTTGGGAAGAAGCGAAGAGTGAGGTTCGATGGAGAGAGGAAAGGGGGGTTGGAAACCCTAAGATAGTGTTGGAGGCGGAAAAGGGACGAGATGGAAAGCGTGCAAATTTGGGTTGTTGAAGAGATTTGGAAGGGAATGAAGACGAAGAAGAACATGAACAACAACCTAATAGAAATTGATTCGACAGAGAAGTAGCCATTTGTTGGATTGTATGCTAGTAAAGAAACAGAGTTTGTGCTATTTGGTGTATGGGTTTATGTGGCAATATGATGAATTAATCAATGTTATAAATTTATGATGCTATATTTTAAAATACTGTTTACATATATTATATATTTAATAAATCTAAAAAAAATTGTTGTTTATAATATTGACAGGAGGACGTAGTTTTTAAGATATTTTTACAAAATATCTAATATTTATTAATAAGTTAATATATATTTTGCCCTGTCATTTAGGGAATTTAAAAAAGGATCTGTAAAAAAAATTTTATTATTGTTATTTGAAGATTTTTTCATTTCAATTAGTTTTTACTCTTTTTTTATTTTTTATATGCGTATAATGAATTTTTATTTTTTTTTATTTTTTTTATTTTAACTACATGTATGGTTTTTTTATTATTATTTTTGTAGCTTTTTTACAATTATTTTATTTTTTTAAATATTAAAAGGTTAAATATCAAAACACATTTGTACCTAACAAATGTTGGACTTAGGAATTTATGGTTGTGTTGACTAAAAGTTTTGACTAAGGAAAGACAACATAGAGATTGACTTGTGGGTCGACAGGTTGGGAAAGGTGGTAAGGGAAACGATGCGAGTCGATGCCAGCAGAAGGAGTTTTGTGAGTCGACTCAGGCCTATTCCGTCGAAGATATCGACTGAGGGGCAAGGAAGCCGACACAAAGTAGAAGAACGTTTGAGCGGGAAGAAAATTTGAAAAGTTGAGAACGTGGGAAGTTGCAGAAGTGGTGGAGGGACACATGGCGCCACTAAGATCAATATAGCAGTAATATTATTTTCCTATTTAAGGCAATACCCATGTTCATTTTAGGGGACGCATTTTGTAACATTGTAAGGGAAAAACACTCTGAGTACCAAGCGTTAAGAGAAAATAGTTTCATTCCTGCAAAATGTATGACCGCATCCACATTTTCTTTTAATAGCAATTTATATCACCAACTTTAAAGATTTCTTGTCTTTTTTTTTTCTCTTTTCTTGTTTATGCATTTGTCTTTATTTAAGTCTACACAGTCTTTCTCAAATTTGTCTTCAACCTATTCTAAACAACATCATTCCACCACCATCTCATACACTCGACCATTACATTCTGGAACTTATTTGGCTGGTCCCGCAAGTAAACATGCGTTAGGAGGTTAGAGGCTGTTCGCGCGAAAACTACGTGCAAACAAATTGGCACGCCTAGTGGAACCCGTCGATTGGGGTGTATGCATCTACACAGTGCTAAGGTGGTGATACCACGTCCAAACGAAGAACTGTCTTCGGAGGGAAATATGGTTGTGACTCAAACAACCAACGTTGGCGCTGACATTGTGTCTGCGGTTTTGACTGCTCATAGTGGGCCTGTCGTGACGCCACGTCGACCTGAACCTAGGCCTATGATGACAGGAACTGAGGGGAAATATATGTCTAGTTTCACAATGTCCACACCCCGAGCCTTTGGGATGCCGACAGAGTTCATGTCGAGTCTACATCACAGTGGCCCACTCTTTAGAGAAAGCTCTTCGTCAGCTTTTTCGCCGTATCAGGAGTTAGGGCCTTTGGAGAACCAAGTTACTAGGCCCCCAGGGTTTAGTTTTCCGTCACGTTCGATTCCAACTTTCACCTCAAGTTATGTCACCGTTATGAGACAGCAGATGAATGAAAGTAATGACGAAATGATCCACGTGTTGACCCAACAAATGGGCACCATATTAAGACCGCTAATACAAGATTCGACTCATATTTACCAACAATTGGCGACTCAGATGACACAGATAAGTGATTTTTTAGGCGCTCATAGGGCCCCGGGTCGACAGACATCGGCGCCTCGACCGGAGACGCCAATTCGACAAGACGAGGTCTTCGATGAAACAATTGACCAGCAACCCCATGAGGTTGAACACACACCCAGGGTGGCCCAAAGGCCTCCTGTTGTTTTAGTTCGTAGGAACCAGGACCCAGACTATGTAGTCAGACAGGCTCGACACGACGTCATGGCTGGCGAACCCAACTTAGAAGCTATGGTGGAATGGATTATGGTTCGCAACAGTGCGAACCTAGGCCTTCAACGACCAACATATACGTTCCCTCTACCAGACTTCGTGCTGCAAACAGAATTGCCCAAAGGGTGGAAGGTGCAAAAGCTTACCAAATTCGTCAGGAGAGACCGAATAGTCCACCGTCGTACATATTGCCAGATATCAAACCGAAGTTGGCGACATAACAAACAACGAGGACTTGAAAATGAAATACTTTCCAAGTTCTCTCACCAAAAATGCATTTACTTAGTTCACCACCTTACCCCTACAGTTTGTCCATACATGGGCACAATTGGAAAGATTGTTTCATGAACAGTTTTACATGGGACAATCGAAAGTTAGTCTGAAAGAGTTAGCTAGCGTCAAACGAAAGGCCACAAATTCGGTGGACTAATATTTTAACAGGTTTAGATTGTTGAAAGCATGATGCTTCACGCAAGTCCCTAAACATGAGTTAGTCGAGATGGCGGCCTAGATTATTCGATCAGGAAAAATTTAGGCACACAATATCTCAGAGATATGGCGTAGCTAGCTGATAAGGTTCGACAGGTCGAACGTTTAAAAAATGAAAACACCCAGGCTAACAGATACCGTAAAAAAGATAAAGTTTCATATGTGGCCGCTGACGAATACTCTTCTAACGATGAGGAGCTCGTCAACGAAAACAAGGTTAACATAGCTGAACTAAAGCCAGGGTCTTCGTACACATGCAAATCATTAAAACCATCGAATGGAAAAAATCATGTCAAAATCGAAAAAATAGATAAATATGTCGCGAAAATGTATACTTTTGATGTATCTGAGTGCGATGGAATATTTGATTTATTAGTTAAAGGTGGTCAGATTATTGTTCCTCCTGGGGCAAAAGATCCCCCTTTAGAACAAAAGAAGAAAAAGGGGATTTTGTAAATTTCATAATTTCCGTAGTCATAAGACATCTCAATCTGTTCTTTTTAGAGACTAGGTGCAGAAAGCTTTGAAAGAAGGTCGACTTCAATTTGGCGAAAGACCAAAGATGCAGGTAGACACAAATCCTCTGAAGGTTGAAGAAGCCTTATGTTTTGATCTATATGATTGCATGATGGTTGAGACTACTGAGGGTCTCAACAAGCACTTGACAACCGAAGCGTTTGAATCCATGATGATCGAGACTACTGATGGTCCGGACAAGAAGTCTGAGGAGAAATTGGAGATAGTCTACCCTCAAGCTGGCGAAAATCTATTTGATTTCCAAGAGAAATGCAGGGTGAACGGGTCAAAGGTTGTATTATGCCCAAAATGCAACGCCATTTTTGATGAAAAAGCTGCTGAGAAATACGAAGTGTGTAGGAAAATGGCGCTGCAAGACAGTAAGCCACTAGTCCCTAGGTTCGTGTTCAACCAGAACGGTGCTCTTGGTCAAAACAAAGAATACAGGTGTTGCACCCCAAAATTTGACCAACATTTATCTATTCATCAAGATTTGTATGAGACTTTGAAGCCAGCCAAGAAGGTGATTAAAAGGATCAAAGGTTGATACCTTTGTCAGAGAACCCAAGAGATCCCTCAGAGGAATTGGTTGAAACCAAGGTTGTGTGTCTCATAACTTGAGAGTTGTGGGGGCTCCTCAGATGATTCTGAGACTATGAGTATGGACTTGAAGCTTTGAGAAAGATTATGAGATGTCTTGAAAGCCATAATGAAGCCTAGAGAGGTCATTATACAAGAATTCAGAAGATTCAACCATGAGTGGTGGAATTAGGGTTTGACTGGGTCAACCCTAGGTCAACTGATGATTTGGAGAGGGTTGAGACCTAATCCAAGGGCCATGTTATCATGGAATGATGTATTGAAGTGTTATAAGGATGATTCCTAGACCAACTCATCATGATTGAGGAGTTTGAGAAGTTTCAAGCTAGGGTTTCTAAGGATTGACAGGTAAAATCCCCTAGTTTAATCCCTATCTTCAAGGCAGTTTAGCTCAATATGTGATTGTCATATCATCTTCCCCACAACATGAATGTTGTAGATCTTGTTATTAGCTTTAATTTGAGTAGTAGAAGTCCTTGATAGGATTTGCAGAGCTCAAGTTATGGTTTTGACAAATTACAGGTCATCTGAGGTATGTGAATCTGGGTCCTTGAAAGTCACCCAACTTGCAGACAACTTTTGCCCTAGTAGGATGATTCCTATGAACTCTTGGTCAACATGAATGTTGAAGAGCATCTTCTTATATTTCTATAGAGTACTAGAAGTCCTTGATAGGATTTGTAGAACTCAACTTATGGCTTTGACAAGCCAAGGGCATTTTGGTCATTTGGAAGTTATAGGTCATTTCAAGCATAAGGCCATATCTCCTACTTCCAAGCTTCAAATGGAAAAATCTTCAACATCAAACTTGCTTATAATGATGTTTTAAGGCTAGTAGGGAGGTCATGAGATGTTGAAAAGGCTCATATCAAAAAGTGATAAAAATGGCCTAAAAATGAGGCATAAGTTAATTCAAGTGAATTTGAAAAATGGAAATCCCAAGTTATAAGTCCAAACCATGTCATGTAATAGGTCACTTTGACTCTAAATGACATTCTAAAAACAATGGTTCAGCCACAATTTTGATTTGAGGCTTGCATCATAGGGTTGCTTTGTAATTTGATTACTTGCGCATGAAGGTACCAAACCAAAACAAGGAAAAACTCAATAAACAAGGAAGATATGCATTGTAACTAACCCTAAATCTCATGTAAGGAGAAATTCAAGTCAGAAACTAAGGTTACAAGGCATATGGCATGGTATAGCATGTGGTGAGAAATGAGAATTCAAAATACCATGACATGAAAACTTCATTTTCTCATTAGATGATCCTAGATGGTTCTAGACTGTTCTAAACCATTCTATATAACCATTGCAACTTGCTCAGATGCAAGGTTGGTGTTAATTGGTGTAGAGAAGAGAGAGTGAGA